TTATAATAATATTTCTATGGCATCCAATATTTCTATGGCTATATATGATATTACATATGTGACACTTCTTTAAAAATATAAAAAAATTCTTTAAAAACAGTTTAATAGCAAATGTTAATCAGAAATTATAATCAATGGTGATGATTTTTAGAAAAATATGACTGATATACAGCATTCTTGGACATGGGATGATGTCCCATACATAGATAATATGTATGTTAGTTTCTATTATTTTGTTTGTTTACCTCTGTGTAATCCCATCATTCAGTGTTATACAGGTCGCCTGAAATCCATCAGAAGCAGAAACATCTGTCTTCTGTTAATTGCACCTGGAAGTGGTATCACCACGAGTCCTGCACTTCTGAGTGATATAATCTGTTTTACTGTCATACTTTTAGGACACAAAGTGGGAAGTGGGATTTTAGGAGAAGAATAAGTATCAGGAAAGGACAGGATTAACCTGCAAGGAGGAGAGCAGGCTGATTATCCTGGACTCTGTCTAGCCCATGTGGGAGTTTTCCAGTTTCCAGCATGGTTGGAACATGCATGCTTGGATGAGGCCAAAAAAATCCTCCCATATTGGAATTTCTTCATGGTGGTTCATAGTTTATCAAGATACTCATTGGCTGGTTGTGTATTGGTGGAATCAGGTTTGAGGTTGTTAGGGGTAGTTGATAGAAAGGAAAATTAGTGGGGATAGCAGTCACAGTTGCTATGAAGTTGAATGGTCTGGGTTGAAAATGACAGATATGTTAAGTTTGGTGAGCAATACTTATCAATAGCAATGTAGGAACTCTTCAAATAACAAGTTATCATTTTATGTAAATCCATCCTTACATGGTTAACAGGCCATGGATAAGTTGGTGTGGGCATGCAGGAATTTGAATAACACACACTCAAACCAGGGAGCTAGATGGTAGGGTATCTTGTGAACAAGTAACTGGATTGAGAAGCATAGTAGATGATGAGGGGCAAAGTGCAAGGGCTGCAATATGTTCCTCTGGCAGTGGAAACTATCATTCTCTAGGAAAGTGCCATGTCCTTTGAATGGTCACAGGGCACTTGGGAAATGGGAGAGGATTCAGTAATGCCTCAGACTCTCTAGAGTTGACTTTAGGTCAAGCACAGGTGTCCATGGCAGATTACTGCTTCGAATGGGCTTTGAAGCAGTTTAGTCATAGAATGACACAGGACATGAAGTCATGGATCATCCCTTCTCTGACTTTGTTACCAACTTCCTTTCAGCCACCACTCCCAATTCATGCTGTCCAGGTGGGTTGTTTGTGAATGAAAACACTGATGTAGGAGTGAAAATGGCGCTGGTCAACATGTTTACTCCAAGCATTTTAGCATGGCGTAGCAGATTTTCATGAACTGGGTCCGAAATTTTGCTCTCAAAAGTATAGACTTAGGAGACCAGTCTTCATGGTATAAATAAATTACTTTCTTGATGACAATCATAACAGTGGCATGGCCTATAACTTGAAAAACACAACCTGTAAGTTGAACCAATTAGAGATTCATACTTGGTGACTTAATAAAGGAGGGGCAGAGCAAATAATTTGTATGAAACAATTTTACTGTAAATACCATAAGTTTAGGATTAATTGTGTTTAATTATAAAGGAAAGTTCAAATACGTAGTATCCATTGTGTTTTCATGAAAATAATGTTCATTGTTGAAAAAGATTAAGAATAAAGACGGACTTTACTTAAACTCTTCCACAGTCTATGAGTTACTCAGATGTCCAAAGGTCTTTATTATATTGGAAATATGATAAAACTGTAAATAGAAATTTGAAATACAGTTACCAGTGTCTAAACTCTAAGGACATTGCCATAAGAGAAGATGATTGGCTTCATTAGTCATTAGGAGCAACATGGCGAAATCCCATCTCTACAAAAAAAAGAAAAAACTGATATATAAACAACAAGGTAAGGTTAGTGGACGAAGACTTCCTGGAAAGGATAAGCAGAGGTTAGAAGGATAAAATCTTGCAACAATATGAAAGCATTTTGGAAAGTATAACTTAGAAAAGTATAGGTTTCATAATTTTTTTGTATCTCCTGTAAGTTCTAGCATAATATTGCAACATGTTGCTAGTATTTGGTAAATGTTTCCTACTCATTCTTATTATAGGGTTCATAAATAAATTGTTCAATGAGTGGAAAGGCATTCAAATCAAAGGGGAATGTCCAGAAAAGATTCCCACAGATTAGCCCCAGACCTCACTCAGGTCCCAAGGACTTTTCCCTTTGTTATGGGCAGAGTTTAGGGTTGGCCACCTGTTATTTTCTTAATCCAGGATAATTGAGGTCACACTGTTAGCTATGGCATGGTTTACAGTTTGAGTGGCTGGTATCAATCTTGTGCTTCCTGTTCTACAAAAAGATGTAGGTTCTGATGGGTATGGGGACACAAGATGCCACCTGCCCAGGTTGGCATACTTCCTGTAGCAGCCCCCTCTGCATGCCTTCCACTCCTGCCTGACTGCCAGGCTCAGTATTCTGCAGAAGCCAGCATTGATGATATCTCATTTCTCAGATCTGCAAGGGCCCCCTCAGCTGCAGATTGGTAATGTGACAATTAACCTTCAAGGGCACAAAGTCTCAGGTATGAGGCACACAGCAGCAATCAGTTACCAGTGTCTAAACTCTAAGGACATTGCCATGAGCTAGATATGTTCTCTCAACTTTTTTGATCTTTTACTTTTTCATTCTTGTTCTTTACAAAGTAATAACATCCTGAGAGGAATGTCACATATTTTTTTTGCACTCAAGTACATATTAGTTACCCACAAAATCAGAAATATATATCCATTCCTTCATTTCCATTTTATAGAATGCTCCATTCTAGGCTTGTTTTGGTTTAGTATTAATGTTTATGCACACTTTTGAACTTTGCTTAGCTCGTTGTCTTCAGGACCATATAGGTCTAGGAGCAAAGAACTAAGCTATAGATAGGTCAATCATTCAGCATTACTTTTGGGACCTACTTGTCTTATACTTGTTACTGTTTCTCGGATCTTATTATTCCTGGCTCCAGATATAGTGTCCTGTTAAAAGAATTATAAATCAGATATTATGGTTTATAATATTATGGTTTCCATATTATTAAAATATTCATTTTTCAATGATTTTCCCGTATGATATTAATGACTTTATTATCTTATGTCCAGTAAGGGGTACAATGACAACTCAGGTATCATGTCAGTGTTTGTGAAATTCAAAACCAAGTAGAAAGATTAATCATGTACATTTTTGTATAATAAAGGAAAAATGACAATTGGTCTTAAAGAGGTAATAGAGATTTGGGAATTTAAAAAAGAAGCGTTTCCTTTGATCAGGTATTCACATGCATAATCACACATATATGCTTATGAGTATATATAAAATGTGTAGAAAATATCTGAAACACACCAGATAAATAACATAGTTGTTAACACTATGGCAAAATTGCCAACCTCAGAGAATATGACTCAGGTGCTTTTCCAATATCTTGAAGAGAACTGACTTTAGCATGGGTTTTGAAGTATATTAGAGAGGAAAAATGCCTTGAATGGCAAAGTAACAAATTACATAATGGGGAACATAGAAATGGGAAATACTGACACATTTGTTGAAGTGATTTATTCCATATGGCATTCCAGAAAGGAAAGGTAGGGTCAGGCAAGGGTATTGATGGACACTTTTTGACCTGTCCCTGTTTATGTGTTCTCTGTTTGTTTGTTTGTTTTCCTAGATTAGCCAGATGGAGAGTAGGATGACTGAGGATGGGCTATTGATAGCCATCTTTGATTAGTAAGTTATCTACCTAAGGGCACTGCAGAGAGATTTGGGATCTAGGAAGGTTTCTGTAAGTTAACTTTATTTTGGTTCATTTTCATTCTACACTCATTAAACCTCTAGCATCTTGGAAGTACGTTGTGGAGCTTAAACCTCTAGCATCTTGAAAGTACGTTGTGGAGCTTAAACCTCTAGCATCTTGGAAGTACGTTGTGGAGATGGTAGGATACCATTTCGTTTTCTGAGGTACCTCTTGGACTTCAGTTTAGTTTTTCCTTTCTGTTCAGCTAATCACTGTGGTGAATGGTTGATTTAGAGGTACCTTCTGTGGTCCTGAGCTTTTCACTTGGAGCAGCAGCAGGTATTTTCATTTGTGCAGATGCCAGCCTCTAGCCAAGCAATAACTCCTGGGAGATTAATTCAAGGTGTTCTCTTCCAGTCTGCAGGGTCATAGGTGAGGTCTCAAATGCCTTTCTCTTTGGAAAAAAAAAAGGCACTCCTTATTAAGTACTTCACATTTTTTCCTTGCGTATCAAACTTATGCACATCAATTTTTGTCATAATTTTCTTCCTTTGTTTCTCCAACACTGCATCATTCTCATAAAATACCTGTTGATTGGCTTTTTATTTTTCTTCACCTTGGTCCATGTGCTTTTGCACTGGGATAATGTTTCTTAAAAATTATGGTATGATGTTGGTAATGTCTACCTTGTTGCCAAAGAACATATTCTAAAAATTTTTAAGACTTTTTTTAGATTCTATAATGAAATAATATGATTTAATAGCTATATTTATTTCTTCAACTCACTCTGGCTACTTTATTTAAGAAGGATTTTTACAAACTTACATGTACTGTCAATTTCCCCTAGAAATATCTTTAGAATTGGATCATTTTCATTTGTGATTTTTGACCAAAATATCCTGCATATCTCTCTTGCCTTGTACATTCTCTGTCTCTTTCCCCCTCTTCTCTTATTATTTCTCCTTTTTTCCTCACACACAAAATCAATATTTTTAAAATTTTAATTTTAAATTGGTTTGAATTTTTTTCATGCCATGGAAATATATTTTAAATATTGTAAAAATAATGATGATATATCACATCAATTTATGTAGATTTGTTTATCTCATGATTGCCAGATAATTAAGATTAAATTTTGTTCTCCTGGTATTTTGGAAAATTTTGTATTACAGAATATTACCATATATTTTCAGGTGCAGAATGATGCTGAAATAAAACATAAAATCAAGATGCAAGTCTTACTTTACCCTGGCCTACAGATAACAGATTCTTATTTGCCATCTCACCGAGAAAATGAGCATGGTATAGTTTTGACCAGGGATGTAGCCATAAAACTCGTGAGCTTATATTTCACCAAGGATGAAGCACTTCCCCGGGCAATGAGAAGAAACCAACACATGCCTCTGGAGTCAAGACATCTGTTTAAGTTTGTTAACTGGAGTATTCTTCTTCCTGAGAAGTATAGAAAAGACTATGTGTATACTGAACCAATTCTTGGAGGACTTAGTTATTCATTGCCAGGACTTACAGACAGCAGAGCATTACCCTTGTTGGCCAATGATTCTCAGTTACAGAATTTGCCACTAACCTATATTCTTACTTGTCAACATGATGTCTTAAGAGACGATGGACTTATGTATGTTACAAGACTTCGAAATGTTGGAGTCCAAGTTGTTCACGACCATATTGAGGATGGAATTCATGGAGCTTTATCATACATGACTTCACCATTTTATTTACGCCTAGGTCTTAGGATAAGAGATATGTATGTAAGTTGGCTGGATAAGAATTTATAAATATATGGTGATGATGTATATGTATAGCCCTTACATGGTGGATTGTAATTTGTGATATTTTGTAGTTTGGGGGCAAAGAACAATGTCATTTGAATTGTCTAAATCTATATTTGAATCATTTTATAGCAGTTAATGTGTGTCCTTGAACAGTTATTAAATTTTCTGACTTGCAGACCCTGAATATGTAAAATGTATGTAATCTGGCCTATTTTCTCCTTACTTATAATTTGTTATAATTATGTTGGTCCTAATAAGAACCAGTGCTTATTAAAGTTGAGAAATAAGAGTGGTTATTGGCAAATTAGGAAAGATAGTTTCCAGATAGGCACAGAAATCGTTGTAGTGAGTGGGAAGAGAAAAAAGAATGGAACAAACTTGCTGTTAAAAATGTATGGAAACCACTGGACTAAATAAATTCTATGGACCCTATATTAGTTTCTTGTGACTATTGTAGCAAATTACTACAAATTCAGTTGCTTAAAACAACAGATATTTATTCTTTTACAGTTCTGCGGTCCTAAACTATGAAATTAGGTCCAAACCAAGTCATAGGCAAGAGACACACCTTTCTTGGAGACTCTTTAGAAGGTGCTCTTTGCCTCTTTTAACCTCAGGTGGCTGCCAGTATTCTTTGACTATTGTTAGATCACTTTAATCTTGAAGGCCAGCATCTTCCAATCTCTTTCTGCTTCATCTTCACATTACCTTCTTCTCTGCCTGTGTCTAATCTCCCAATGGGCTTCTCTTAGAAAAAGACATGTGTTTATACTTAGGAGGGTCTACCTAAATGGTCTAGGATAATCTCTGCATCTCACGATCCTCAATTTAATTGCATTTGCATATTTCCCCCACCCTTTTCTATATAAAGTAACCCTCAGACATTAGGATGTAGTTATCTTTTGGGAGGCCATTTTTAAAAACATTTTCAGTTAAATTTTATTTTTTAAAGGAGGCAGCAGATCAATATAATTCAAGAACCTGATCTAAATATGCATTCAATAATGAAGAGCATTTGAGTATGGACTAGAAAAGTTTCTCCCAAAAACTTTCGAATATATCATCTGAAATTACCTAAAGAATAAATCACTTCGTAGTCCTTTTGTTGACTGGAATCATAAACAGAAAACTGAAAATTTATTGCTATGAAAACAGATCCATGGTACGATGTTATAAATTTTAGTATTAAGCATAGTCAGTTGAATCCAATTAAGAAGTTAAAAATGTAGTAAAAAATGTGTGTATGTATGAGTACGTGCATGTGTGTGTGACAAATCTACCATCCAATTGACCTAAAAGCAACTTATTCAGTTGGGACCAGACATTTTTCTCAATTCTCCATTATTCAGAAGACAATTCAGTCCACAAACAAAATAAGATTATTTTAATGTAGAGAGAAATTAATTATGTTCAAAGAGCCCTTTTTCTTTCACTCAATTTCAATACCCCAAAGTTAAAAACACATCCTTGACTATGACAAATGAAAATAAGTGTCACGGGAATCTGTTAATTTTTTCCTCTGAGAAATAAAATCTAAATGGAGATTTGATACTATATGCTATGCTATATACACTAAGAGAATTGTATTTTTCATAATTCTGATTTGACCCGCTTTAAACTCGATATATTTTAAAATTTGTAAATTATTTTTCATGATACTGAATCTGGTTCCAGTTCTTTTTAATCATTTAATATACTGGCTGCCCATTCTAATTAGGAAAACAAGTACTAGAAATCTCTTCTTTTTAACAGCATGTGCTGATTTGTAAGCAAATCATTAAAAATGCAGCTCTCTAGGAAGCAAATTTTGTTGATTGTCCTATTGTCTGAACATTTTTCACAATGATTCCTTACTAAAAATCCTTTCGATTTTGTAAGCACTACACTAGTGTGTAGTGTCACTAGTATGCACTTTCAAGCCTTGAAACAGGAAGGGTGGCTCCTGTTTTAATTTTTGAAAAATTTTGTATCTTGCAGAGCAGGAAAGCCCTTCTTTTTTTGCTACATAAGTATGTGGTAGAAACATATGCTAAGGTAGGCCAGTCAATCCTTTTTTATTTATTTTGTAAATTTGGTCCCAGAATATTTCTGGAAGGAACCACAGCTAGACTAGCTTCCTTTGCAGTCCCTTACCTCACTAACTTCTTTTGTGGCTTTATCCAGGCACTGTTATTATTTGCATGCTAAAGGGTTCATTTCACTGGATCTTACTTTCAAAGTTTGTTCCCTTTTGTATGGTGGTGTGAGCATTGTGATCAAGCCATTAAGTTTGGAAACAAGTGAACAAAAGTCATCTGTTATAATGTACTTTATTTTATTTTCAAATTGACAATAATTGTACATATTCATGGGATACATAGTGGTGTTTCAATACATATCATGTATAGTGATTATATCACGGTAATTGGCACATCATCCCAAACATTTAGAATTTCTTTGTGTTGGGAATGTTCAATATCCTTTTTTAGCTGTTTGAAATTATGTAATATATTATTGTTAACTATAGTCATCCTACAGTGGTATAGAAACTACCTAGCTGTAATGTTGCATCTTTCAACAATTCTAATTTATTTCTTGACAGTGTAGGGGAAGACTCGATTACACCCCATGCCACGACAGCTAAAAAGTCCAATGTTTTCAGTCTCTTTGTAGCTATGTTATCCAGGCATCGATTTGTATTTACATCTCATATTCCTTTCTAAGAGAAATAGTTATACAGAACCTGAGAATCAAATTCAATATTCTCTAGGTACCAAGGCAAGGGTTTATGTTATAGTTTGTGTCTTAGTCCAAGTCCCAAGTCTTGATGATACAGCTCCACAACCTACCTTCATAATACCCAGGGAAAGTATACAGAAGAAATTCTTGATTTTTTCTATCCAAATTTCTACGACTCATCTGTTATTTTTACTGATAATCTGCCTGTGTCTCCTGGAAACACATAGGTGTAGGTTTCTGACACACATATCTAACATGTAAAGGAGTAACATTTCCAAAGTACCTCCAAACAGCCACATCCTAAAGGAAATCTCTAGGTTTTTCTGCTGAAATATCCATTCCAGCATTGTGTTTGTTTGCTAGAGCTACTGTAAGAAAATGTCACAAACTGAATGCCTTAAATAAACAAAAGGAATTTATTGCCTCATGGTTCAGAAGGCTAGAAGTTGGAGATCAAGGTGTCAGCACGCCAGGATCCCTCTGAAGGCACCAAGGATGGATCTGTTTCAGGACTCCTGGCCTGTAGCAGCATAACTCCAATCTTCACATGATATTCTCCCTTTGTATGTGTTCTTCTCCAATTTTCCCTTTTTATACAGATAGCAGTCAGATTAGATTAGGGCCCACCCTAATAACTTCATTTTAACCTTACCGTCTTTGTAAAGACCCTGTTTGCAAATAAAATCACTTGTAAATTATTGGGGGTTAGGACTCCAACATATGTGTGTGTGTGTGTGTTTATATACATATAGTGAGATATATATATGTGTTTGTGTGTGTGTGTTTATATATATATGTATGTATGTATGTGTATATATATATATATGGCAAGTATTGTATGCTCCAATTTCTTAAAAGTAAAAAAAGGCCTCATGCCATTGGTGGTGTTCTGAAAGGAAGAGTCCATCAATTTTCCTAGCAAGTATCATATGTTCCAATTTCTTAAAAGTAAAAAAAAAGGCCTTGTGTCATTAGATGTGTTCTGAAAGGAAGAATCCATCAATTTTTCTTCTGTGCATTTCTCTCTGGGGAACAGGATAGCAGCAGAAACTGAGCTGCTAGCTGAACACAGCATAGGTCATATCAGAGCCTGCTGTGAGCTCAGAAGTACCTCATGGATCATATCAAGGGTAGAACATACCACTCTTCTCTTGTCATGTTTGAGCCTATTTTGTACACTCACCATCTATGAAGAAAATCATTTGCCCTTGAGACATAGCAGCTCATTTTAAATCTAGTTCTGATTAATCCAGAACTTTATTCCATTTGGGTTATGTGAACTAGTACTTTTAATTTTTTCACATAACTCTCTAGAGTCTTTTCAAAAAGTCTCTCACTGATAGAACTTACTGGAACAATTTCTCCTAGCATGTGCCTTGGTGAGACATTAATGACACTAATGACACTATGGGCAGTTCACAGAAGTCTGCTCCAAGCCTCACTGTGGACAGAAATATCCACATTTGTAGCAAGATTATCTGGGAACATCTTTGTTTGACTCCAACTCCAGCAGGAGGACCTCTCTCCTTTTTATTTATTTTTTAAAATCACATTTGTGGTTTCACAGCAGGAGCATATCCAAGATTACACACATCAAATACGTGGCTAGACCCACCGTGCAATAGGTAAAATTTCTCATGGAACTTTAAGACCAATGCAAAATTTATACATATATATGTATATATCTGTGTGTAAGAGCATGTGTATAAAGAAGCATTTAAAATATATATGCAAATCATGAAATCTATTTCAATCTGTTATCAGAAATGACATCCGTACCCTAGGTTTTGTGTGGCAGTGGCGGTGGGCTGGACTGCCATCTACCATGCCAGCTCCTCCTCCCGTGCCACTGCCCATGACTCCCCAGACAACTGAGGGAATGGGATCAGCCTCACCTAGGCCTTCATGGGGTCCACACGCTACTCCCCTGGCTGTGATGCACCACCCCTCTGGCTCCCACTGCGTCCTCAGTGAGCTAGAGGCTGGGCAGCAGCCTTTGCAGCTGCGTGCAGCTGCCCACTTTTTCAGCTTGCCTGTAATTATAATAAAGAAAAACATATATAAAAATAAATATAATGTAAATTTTGCATACCCTCAAGCCTGTTAATGAATATGGGGAATTCAAGTTCACTGTCAAGTGATATACTTTCAGCTTTGATATAAACTCAAAGAGAAGATTGCTTTCAATTGTAGGCCTACACTCTTTGCTTGATTATTTTACTTCATCTCCAACCAAATTCTGTTCACTAATTTTCGTGCAGCTTGCACCAAATAAGGCAAACTTCAGTCTCAGTACTGAGCTACTGCAGCGGTTCAAAAAGATCTATGCCCTCGATGTGTACTGTTTTCCCTATCAGCTGTCACAGGCAGTGATGTGCGTGACAGGGTAAATTCTATAGGATTTTATATTCCATCACTTTGGTATATATAATTTGAATATATATGTGTATGAATGTTAGAATGGAT